ACGCCACTGCACTCCAGACTGGGTGACAGAGCCAGACACTGTCTCAAATAAATACATACATACAGCCAGGCGCGGTGGCTCACGCCTGTAATCCTAGCACTTTGGGAGGCGGAGGCAGGTGGATCACGAGGTCAAGAGATCAAGACCATCCTGGTGAAACCCCGTCTCTACTAAAAATACAAAACATTAGCTGGGCATGGTGGTGCGTGCCTGTAATCCCAGCTACTCAGGAGGCTGAGGCAGGAGAATTGCCTGAACCCAGGGGGCGGAGGTTGCGGTGAGCCAAGATCACGCCATTGCACTCCAGGCTGGGTAACAAGAGTGAAACTCCGTCTCAAAAAAAAAAAAATACATACATACATACATACTTGAAGTGGCTGAAACAATAAAGATATTTATTATCTCGTGTAACAAATCACCAAGTCATCAACAAAAATATCACCAAGGTTTGTTTTCTGTTTTAACTTTTCCGGTAAGCCACCACCTCGTGCCAGCTTTGTGTCCTTAAGCCTTGTGACCTCAGCTCTACAGCCTGAGCTGAAGAAGATGAGGGTCCTGGTTCTCAATTTCTTTCCCCTTTTTAAATAAGGGCACAAGCCCCTTCCCAGAATCCTCCCAGCAGACAGCAGACATCCGCTGAGACCTCCAGGGCCAGAATTGGTCACCAGCCCTCCTCTTACCCAGAGGTGACCGGGGAAATGGGATGTTTCTGTGTGGCTTAAACCTGTCACAGTTAAGCCCTGAGGCTGAGGGAGTGAATCAAAACAAAGTAAGTCAACAAGGAAGGGGAGCGGCTGCCATTTTACTTGACAGGAGCCCTTCACTGACCAGAAGGAGCCGGGGCCTAGAGAGGTTAAGTCGCTTGTCCACAGCTACATGTGACTTTGTACCAGGACCAGGGTGCAACCACAGTCCCAGAGCTCAGTAAGCTCTCCCCACCTCACCATATGGCTTCCCCACAACAGCAGACTCCAAGCCCAAGCCCCTCAAGGGCAGAAGCCCCATCCCAGGACCTTCTGAGCTTGACAGAGCCCCAGTGTGGACAAAGTCAGCCAGGAGAGAGCCGCTCATGCCCAAATGCGCCTCACCCGCCTCCGGGCCCACGGCTAAGGGAGCCAAAGCGCTTTCTGTCCCTGGCAAAGGCCTGGCAGGGGGTCAGCAGGAACCCAGAGCCTGACAAACAGCATCTCCGCAGCCACCTGGACCCTGGCCAAGCTGCCTCATTCCCCAGGCCTGACCTCATGTTTCTGAAGAACCTCAGGAGCCTGAGGTCTGTGTGCTGCCTCACAAGGTTCAGTTCTGCTGCCAGCAAAGGAAATGGCCGGGCTGGGGGCCATGCGGAGAGGTGGGAGCACAGAACCCATCGCCTAGCCCTGCCCTGACAGAGCCCTCGGCAAATACCAGGCAGGCCCCACTCCAGAAGAAACCAAACAGCACCCTCTAACTTCTGAGGTGTGGCCCATGCCCACCTGCCTTCCCGCCTCTGCTGGATACCTGAGGGTATACCTTGAAGAAATTTTCACAGACTGGCTGTTTCTGGCTGTTTCATTCCAGACTCCTGCAAAGTGAGCAAAAAGCAGTCAGACTTCATCAGAGGCGCTAAGAACATCTCTGGAGTCAGTCCCAGCACCTCAAAGAGCTGCAGAGCTCACAGCCAGGCTGAGACCTGTTGCTGGGTGACAAAAGTCACCGTTTATTTAACCCAGAGCTGGGCCGGGTGCCCACACTGGCCTTTCTATGGTCACTGACAGCAAAGGCTCCCAGAGTACCAAGGCCCAGCGTGTGCTCCAGGACAAAAGCCTTCACGCACTTGACCTCCACTTCCTGACTTCCCTTCTGGGTCAAATGTCTACTTACCTCATATGGCAGTCAAGGGGAGCAGCCTGGGGAAGTAGCACATGGCAGACCCCAAGCCACATTCAATCTTCCACTTCCTCCTGGGGCATCTCTGTCCCATCTCCACTTCCCACACACCCAGGCTGCAGGTCCCAGCTAAGGTGTTTGTTCCTATTCATATTCCCTTAAAAGCTTTCATTCTCCCCATACAACCACAAGGGCCGAAAACCATGTGGGGAAGGAAGAAGGCCTCTGCTTCTGTGCCATCATCTCTGTGGCCTGACCAAGAGGAGTCAGACACAGCGGCTGGCAGTTTTAAACTTTCCCTACCGAAGTTATTCTCAGAACTGCGGCTCCCATCTTCAGAGCTTGAAAAGTCTGCATACCTTGAAAGTATGCAGGCTGGAGGGCTGTGTGAACCCAGTGGAAATTTCCATTCATAGAACAATAGTCTTCATATCGCTCTGAGGGCTGGCGTTCTCATGGTAAGGGCTCGGAGTTCAGGGTCAGTAAACCTACCAGGCTTCTGCAGGAGCCCTGCGGCACGGAGGCTCTTCTATTTATTTTTGGTGGAGAGGGGGAGGAAATAAAGGAATGACTTTCTACCTTGCATGCCAACACAAACTTGGAAAAGGAGCTGGGTTGGCAAGTGCTGAATATTGCTGCCTGGTTTCATGACTTACATCAACCATTGGGGACTAAGAGGAAGAGGCTGAAACGTGGATCTTTAACCCCTAACCCAGAGAGGTGGCCAAAACAGGCCTCACTTCACCGATTCGAGTCCTATCCCACACCTGCCAGCCAGAGCCCTGGATTGCTCTTTGAGGGCAAGGCCACGTCGCCCCACCTCACTTCACTTCTTTCCGGCTTCCCCTGTGTTCTGCCTTAGAGTTCTACTGAGACTCATTGTCTGAGATATCTTGCCAGTCTGTGGTGTGGTGGGAAGACCACCCGGCTTGGAGTAACAGGACCTGAGCCTTAATTCTGTCATATCGTCACTGTGGCCTTAAGGAAGTCCTACTCAGCCGGGTGCAGTGGCTCACACCTGTAATCCCAGCACTTTGGGAGGCTGAGGTGGGAGAATCACCTGAGCTCAGGAGTTCAAAACCAGCCTGGTCAATATGGCGAAACCCCATCTCTACTAAAAATATAAAAATTAGCTAGGCATGGTGGCACATGCCTGTAGTCCCAGCTACTCAGGAGGCTGAGGCGGAAGAATCACGTGAACCGGGAGTTGGAGGTTGCAGTGAGCTGAGATTATGCCATTGCACTCCAGCTTGGGCGACAGGGTGAGACTCTGTCTCATAACAACAAAAAAAAAAGTCCTACTCTCTAGGCCTCATTTTCTTCATCTGTAAGGATTGGACTTCAAGTTGGGTACAGTGGCTCACATTAGTAATCCCAGCACTTTGGGAGGCCAAGGCAGGAGGCCAGGAGTTCAAGACCAGACTGGGCACATAGTGAGTCCATCTATTAAAAAAACAAAAGGCAAGAAAAGATCTAACAGAATAATCCCAAAGATCCCTTCCTATGCTGACATTCTGATTCCCTCATTCATTCTAATATTAACCAATGCCAGCACCATGTTCTGGGCATCACCTGCTGGGTCATTCTAAACGTGCTGGGCACAGCCAAGACATGTGAGTGTGGCCTCAGGCCTAGTGCGGGCTCACTGTTTCCACAGCCACTGCATGGTCCAGAACGGGGAAGGAAACCCCCACCCGCCCCATGCAGCCCACCCTGCTACAGCCCACCTACCAGGGAAGGTATTTTCCTGATCCCAGTTCTAGGTTTCATCCTAGAAGAGCCCTCAACATCTAAAGCCTTTCCTACTTTCAATTTTTTAAAAAGCTGGAAAGGGTAAGACCCCCTGTCTTCCTAATCAAAACTCATCTTCTGGCTCTTATTCTCCATGGCTTTTACACAACATGTTTTATTCATTTGAAAGTGTTTAATTATAACGTTGAGGCCAGGTGTGGTGGCTCATGTCTGTAATCCCAGCACTTTGAGTGGCCAAGGCAGGAAGATTGCTTGAGGCCAGGTGTTCAAGACCAGCCTAGGCAACATAGTGAGACTCTGTCTCAAAAAAAAAAAAAAAAAAAAAACTGCAAGAAGAAAAAGAAAAAGGAAAGAGACAAAATATAACATTGAATACACGTTTTTTCAAACTGCACATACAACCCACATTTTTACCCAGGCCTCTGGGGCAACGGGGTATACACACACACACACACACACACCAATAACTGTCGTAGGCTCTCCAGCCATGAGATTTTTTGGCCCAGCCCCAACCCCGACCTAAGTCACCGTGTTGCGGCGACCCATTAGCTGAGGTTCCTGAGCACCTGCTGGGAGGAAGGCTGCTGGGAAAAGTCCTGCGTTCCTCCGCTCTTACCGCGGCAAGAACCACAGCCTCCCCAAACCTCGGGGTTTGTGTGGATTTTGCACAGGGAAAGCGCTCCAACGCGCGGTGCAAACGGAAGCCACTGGCTGGTTGGGCGGGCTGTGATGGGAAAGCTGCATCCTTCCATCGGGTCCAGCTTTTCTTGCTGATGTTGGTGAGAAGTGAGTGGACAGCGGGGATTCTCAGGATGTGGGCCTGGGGCCATTAAAGGCTGGGAGGCGGGGGCGTGAACCTGTGACCACCCTGACCCCGTCCTCGGTGGGCCTCACTACCAGGCCAAGGAGACCCAGGCCTGGTCACTTGCTCCAAACCCAGGCCTGGGTCTCAGACGAAGCGGGCCCCAGCAGCCGCCCCTCCCCGGCCCTCCTCTCCCCTACTTTCTCCTTACCTCCCAGGGGCGCGAAGAGCACGCCCCCTCCCCGAGCCCCACCAATGAGCATCCGGAGCGGCGCCCGAGGCGCCGGGTCTATGGTCGGCAGCCAATGAGAGCCGCGGCCCGAGGCGGCGCCTCGCCCGCCCCCTCCCGGACTGAAGGCCGCCCGGCAGCTGGCGAAGCTGGCGCAGCGCGCCGGGCGCGGGAGCCGCGCGGGCCGGAGCGGAGCGCGCTCACAGCCCGCCCGCCTCCGCTCCGCCTCCGTCCGGGGCTCGGGCGAGGTGGCCGGGGCGGGGGAGCGCAGGGGGCAGGGCCGCGGCGGCGAGGCCGGGGGGCGGGGAGGAGCGGGCTGGATAAAAGGCGGCGAGGTGGCCCCACCCCGCGGCAGGCCGGCGGGCAGGCTCGGCGCGACCCTTCCGTCCGGCCCGCGCCGGCGGCTGGGAGGCGGCGCGCGGCCCGTAGCCAGCCCATGGAGGCTTTCCCCTGGGCGCCCCGCTCGCCCCGCCGCGGCCGCGCCCCCCCGCCCATGGCGCTCGTGCCCAGCGCCCGCTACGTGAGCGCCCCGGGCCCGGCGCACCCGCAGCCCTTCAGCTCCTGGAACGACTACCTGGGGCTCGCCACGCTCATCACCAAGGCGGTGGACGGCGAGCCGCGCTTCGGCTGCGCCCGCGGTGGGAACGGCGGCGGAAGCTCCCCGCCCTCCTCCTCCTACTCGTCCTGCTGCTCCCCACACGGGGGAGCCGGGCCCGGGGCGCTGGGGCCAGCGCTGGGGCCGCCCGACTACGACGAAGACGACGACGACGACAGCGACGAGCCGGGGCCCCGGGGCCGCTACCTGGGGGGCGCGCTGGAGGTGCGCGCACTGGAGCTGTGCACCGGCCCCGCCGAGGCCGGGCTGCTGGAGGAGCGCTTCGCCGAGCTGAGCCCGTTCGCCGGTCGCGCTGCCGCCGTGCTGCTGGGCTGTGCGCCCGCCGCCGCCACCGCCACCACCGGCGACGCGACGCCGCGCGAAGAGCGGTCCCCGGCGTGGGCTGCAGAGCCCCGGCTGCACGCGGCCTCCGGGGCGGCGGCCTCCCGACTGCTGAAGCCCGAGCTGCAGGTGTGCGTGTTCTGCCGGAACAACAAGGAAGCGATGGCGCTCTACACCACCCACATCCTCAAGGGCCCCGACGGGCGAGTGCTGTGCCCTGTGCTGCGCCGCTACACGTGTCCCCTGTGCGGCGCCAGCGGCGACAACGCGCACACCATCAAGTACTGCCCCCTCTCCAAAGTGCCGCCGCCGCCCGCCCGCCCGCCGCCCCGCAGCGCCAGGGACTGCCCGCCCGGCAAGAAGCTGCGCTGAGGACCCTGGCTCCCGGCTCACCAGGGTCACCGCTGCCGCCCCTCGCACCGCTGGGTCTGCACAGTATCTCGCCCCTGGCGTGGGGAGGCGTGCGGCTCAGCGGTCGGCTCGACTTGGGACGTCGTCCTGGTTTTTCAAAAGCAGCGACCGTGTGGAGTACTTTCGTGCAGAGCGGTTGGAACTGGACGCTGAAATCCCCGTTTGTCTTCAGTTTCTAGTTTGCACATCCAGAACGGCGAAGGCTGGGTGTGTATTCCACTAACTGAAATATGGCAACATAGAGGCGCTGTTTATTTACTGTATACGTCGACCTATTTTAGATGCGCGTCAGTATGAAATTGTCTCAATCTAATCTTGGATGTTTCATTTTATGAATGGAGGCACTTTACTAGGTCTAGAATATTTTTTTAAAAGCCTCTGAACTGAGCTTAAAAATGGCGATTTTATGAAATGTCGGCAAAATGACTATTTTATTGTTTGAAGCGAGTAATACTCTTAGTTGTCCTTAAAAATCAGTTACTCTAATTCCAGGTGAAGCAAGCCCTTGGTAGCATCACCCTTATGAGAAGTGAAGGTTTTGTAAACTTTCCAGTATTAATTTGAGCGGGTATTCCCTCCTTGTGGCTTGTTTCTGTCCTAGCTGGAGGTGTAAGATGCACAGTCTGTAGCAGGTAGAATACAGCTCCTTATCCTTTTATGTACCAGATCTTTTATTACTGAACTATCAACTAGTCTTTTCCACCTTTAAAAGTTGTGCCAAGTCATAATCGTATTGTGTAAACTTGGAAATGGTGCTGTTTAAAAAACTTGTGTATTTATACAGTAACAGTATGAATTCATTAATCTCACCTGTAACTTTCCTACTTGGCCTTTTCTCTACACACTCACTTCCAGTTCTTGAAAAACGTTTATATTACGATCAAAGGGAGGAAGGCAAGACAGCAGTATTAATTCACCCTAGATTACTCAGTTTCAGGGTTCCTAAATAGTGGAGGAAAGCCCATTCCAGCTGTTGCCTCTCAAATAGAAGATGGATCTCTGGCTCTGACTTGTTGGTGTATCAACTCGTATTCAAGAAGGTTCGATCGTGGGCTGCGTCTGACCTTAAGAGTACCGGCAGTGCTCAAACTAGAATAAGCACTAATTAAAGGAATTGTTGGGGGTCCTTCATGTTACCATTCCTACTGGAAGACCCACGTCCATTTCTGGAACCCCACCAGTTACCCATAAGCAAGACTAAACCTGATACTTAGGCAGAAGTTCCTAACCCCTACTTTACCCTCCCACCCTCACCTTTAAATCCACCATACTGAATGCCACACCGTGGAATGCAGCCACTGTGGCTGCCAATCAAGACAGATGTAGAAGGCAAAAATAAGTGAATTAAGATGAACTCATCTGAAATGCATCACTATCTGAAGATACCAGCATGAGATTTAGTATACATGTATTAGGCTCCCAGCAGGAGGATTTAGCTAGACAATTAGACTGCTTTCACATTCCACAGCTAACTTCCTCCACAGCAAATTGACTCAATCAGGAACCTTCATTTGAAGGTGTGTTTAGAGGGTGGGGCAAATACTGGATAGTTCTTTTTAGCCAAAGGTGCATATCGAGAACCCCGGGGCGGGTAGGGGAAAAGCAGTTTCTTAGCCAGGAAAGAAAAAAATCCAATCCTGCTAGTCTTCCCAGACTAGAGAACTGCAGATCTGATTGGGCCTGAATTAAGTAGCTTAATGAAACTGTGTAATCGTCCTTTTGCTAGAAAATATACCAATTTAAATGAGCTTCGCTTTCTGGGTGAAGTTGCTAAGGTCAACACGAATCCTCTTACCTCTCCCACTGCTCCGGTTCTGCCTTTTTCAAAAGGACCACTATATACGCATCAGTACATTACTCTAGGCCAAAAGGGCTAGCCAGGTGGCAAGATCAACTAAGCTACTTTGTATTTTTAAGAGTTAAATTATAGATGGTTTGTGAGGCTTTGACATAGCTTCAATATATGGGAGTCACTGTGACAAGAGATGTGCCTAATGTTAATTTCACATTCTGACACCATTACTATTTTACCAGAACCAAGAACATGTTGAGCTGGAGTTTCCTGAGGGCAGGAGAGTATTAGGAAAGGCATCCAGAAGACCCTCTGTTAACTAGTCAGGCAGCCACTATTCATCTATTTTTAAAGTACCCCATTTTCAGACCAGACATGGTAGCTCACGCCTGTAATCCCAGCACTTTGGGAGGCTGAAGCAGGCAGATCACCTGAAGTCAGCAGTTTGAGGCCAATGTGGGGAAACCCCGTCTCTACTAAAAATACAAAAATTAGCTGGACGTGGTGGCAGGTGCCTGTAATCCCAGCTACTTGGGAGGCCGAGACAGGAGAATTGCTTGAACCCAGGAAGCGGAGGTTGCAGTGAGCCCAAATCCACATTGCACCACTCCACTCCGGCCTGGGCAACAGAGTTAGACTGTCTCCAAAAAAAAAAAAAAAAAAAAAAAAAACCTCCATTTTCAGCTCCTGTGCAAATATGCCTAGGTTTTCCAGCTGACAATGAATACTGAAGTTAAAACACCAAATATTACTATAGTTAATTTTCTAGGGCTCTTCTTATGAAAAGTACATGTAAACACGTTCATTTAAAAATCCTTGGAACTCAATGTGAGACTTTAAACATTTTGCAAAATTACATTTAGAGAAACCTAATTTCTCAAAGTTTAAGAAATATGCAAAGTAATTATGACAGTTATCTTAACATGCTGCATGCTTGGTTAAGTAGCAAAATACAGGGAATACTCAAAAGGGCTTCTTCAACTATAGAGGTACAGATTGTCTTAACCTGTTCTTTTCTGTACAGACTCAAATTTCTAGTGGCTTTTATTTTTCTTTGTATTTTAATTTTCCAACAAAGTCCTTTTTGGAAGTTGCGGAATTATTAGCTTTGATGAGAACAACTTTTGTCATAGATTTGATTTATTTAACTAAAAGTATACATATTAAAATTATATCACAAATATATATGCTTCCAGACAAAAAAAAGTTTGTTAGTCCTGATTTTCTAATCGTAGCCACTCAAGAACAGTCCTTTGACAGTACCCCATATATTTCAGTTAGACTTATAAAAGTATAAATCAATCTATGGTCAGTGTCTTTGGTTTAAAAAAAAAAAAAAAAAAAAAAAAAACAGGTAGTTCTTGACATAAAAACGTCCCGTCCCACACATTATAGATGCCAACCACCTCCTGGTAGCCACTATGGACAACTAATGAGATGCAGAGTCTTTTTTGGACCGATGATGTCTCGGCCATTGGATCCATATGTATTAACAGCAATGTTACTCTCAATGAAAACTGCAGAAGCCACCGGGAACATGGAAGACCACCTAGCAGATCGGTGAGTAGGCCGGTTGTTCAGCTTTCCTTTAACACCTGTTGGTAAATACTAGGGAGTAGACAGGGTCGTACAGCCTGGAAACCAAGAGTAGGATTGCAAAGTAACAGCATCGGACTCTTCTGCCCTCCTCTTGCACTTGGGTTCTGAGTCCCAGGACAAAGAACTTGGGAAAACAGTACAGGAAACTGAGCAGAAAGGATGGGTTTACTGACTAGCCTCGAAACCTAACACTGATGTAGGCAGCCGTAACTCATCTGAACAAATCTGATTAAATAAATAATTGGAGCTTACTTGTGATTTCACATGTACAGATCTACTCTCTAGGAAGCAAACTCTTAGCACTGCTGTTACTGCCCCACTTAAAATCACTGATCTGAAATTCTCTTGTTATGAAAGAAAAGTCCTCCCCACAAAAGACCTTTTACGACTTCTACTTATTTGAAGTACCAGATAGTTAGAAAAGTGTTTAAAATGATTTCTATAATTGGTAACATCAAACAGAAAAGGCTGCATCTGGTTAAGTAAAAAGGTATTAATACTCCCTCTTCTGGCCCTACAGCTGTACCAATAGGAATTCTCACCACTATTCAATAACAGAAATAGTAAGTGCCTACAGCCATGATGAATTTGTGACATTTTCTCAAATTAACTATGATTTTTCTAATTTCAGGTGAAAACCCAAGGTGGTACTTCAAATACACACATGCACACACAAACTCAAGAGGAAAGCCTTACAAGGAAACTAAGGAATTCCTCATTAACAGAGGAAGACATTTTAGGGGAGAAAGCCTAGCCACATAGGCTTTGATATATTTAGGTTCATTTTCGTTGATACTGAACACTAAAGACATTTAATGGCACTGATAAAAATTCAAGTAAAAAACTCAACTCAATATGCAAACTTACCATTATGAACAGAATACTAACTATAACCACGAATCAACACTAAAACAAATTCTGTAAGTATTTTATTTATCACTGAAGAAAAAACACAGCAGCAAGTTCTGTGTTGGCTTCAATGAGACCAAAGAGTTAATCTTTAACATAGCTACTACACTCCAAAATTGAAGTCAACACAGTCATTACTACAAATTACTTGTTGAAAGAATCTATCTTGAAGAGAAAGAAAATTAGGAAAGAGAATTTAAACGATTCCTCCAAACCATACATTTATAAATATTGTCATATTTAAAATGCTTGAAAGGCATGAATTCTCCATTAATGGAAAAGCAGTTTGCTATTGGCAACAGAAAAAAAAAAACTTAGCGACAGTTTACCAAATGCTTTAAAATTTAAAAGCTGTACTGTTTGGATTCGCACTTAGGCAGTATTCTCGTCATTACAATAGTAACTGCAAATTGCTTTATACTCACCTTCTCTCGAGTAAAATCTAAAGAAAACCACACTGTATCCAATGTTTGTAATGTTTACTTAAAGTCAATCTAAAAACTTTCTAAATTTAGTTTGTGGTAAATACCTCAAAATACCTAAAAGAGGTACATTTCAACCACTTGAAAAAGTGTGAAAATTGTTTCAGATTCCCTGCTTTAAAGGGTCTTCAAATATGTTTTCTTTAACAGAATCTTACTTCATTCCAAATTATTTCAAAATAAATTTTAAAAAAAGATCAGTTCTATATCAAGATAAAGGTGTTACTCAATACCTGAAGTTTCACATTTTAAATTTATTTTTTAGGTTTCTTGTCAACAAATGATTGATGAAATAATGCCACACCCCTAAATTCCAGAAAATGGCATGGTTTTTCCAACCTCCTGTGGATATGGTGCATGATCAATCTATTATATAGGATTAATACAAGTTCATGCTTTTTGTGTTATGGTGAAACAACATTAAAGAATCCAATTTAGATTGGTTGAAGCACAAGTATGATAATCCTTGAATGTGATCAAACCTATTTATGACACCAGTTTAAATCCATTATCTTGAGACTTAACGTCGTACTGTGGTCCATCCATCTTCATCAGTCTCATTTTTAGTACGACGGAGAGATTCCCTATCTTTCTCAGCTCTCCATGAGGCCTTCTCTTTTTCACCTTCTCTTTCTCGGTCTCTTGAAAGAGCTGGGGGAGGAACTCGACGAGGAGGGTCCCGCTCTTCTGCCCGGTCATCCTTCCTGTCATCAGCACGTCTCCAAGAACTTACTAAAAATTAAAAAAAAAAAAAAAAAAAAAAAAAAAAAAAAAATTAAAAAAAAAAAAAAAAAAAAAAAAAAAAAACACAAGTACTATATTCTATTGGCTCAAATTAACAAGCAGAAAGAATGCTTCAAATTACTCAAAATTCCTAAAGATTAACAATACAAAATCATAATTAAAGCTTTCATGATTTCTGACAAGATCTTTTTATATTTTTTGAGATGTAGTTTCACTCTTGTTGCCCAGGCTGGAGTGCAATGGTGAGATCTCAGCTCACCGCAACCTCTGCCTCCCTGGTTTAAGCAATTCTCCTGCCTTAGCCTCCCGAACAGCTGGGATTACAGGCATGTACCACCACACCTGGCTCATTTTTGTATTTTTAGTAGAGATGGGGTTTCTCCATGTTGGTCAGGCTGGTCTCTAACTCCTAACCTCAAGTGATCCACCCACCTCAGCCTCCCAAAGGGCTGGGATTACAAGCGTTAGCCACTACACCCAGCCTCTGACAAAATCTTTAACATACAGATGTACAGATAAAACTCAAAATTTGAAAACCAGCAGAAGCCACTGGCTTGGGAAGGACTACAATTGGCATAAACCCATAAGACAAGGTAGCAAAAATCTGGCCAAATAAAAATTTTAAGAGCTAAGCGCGGTGGCTCACGCCTGTAATCCCACCACTTTAGGAGGCCGAGGCAGGCGGATCACCTGAGGTTCGGAGTTCGAGACCAGCCTGACTAATATGGTGAAACCCTGTCTCTAAAAAATAAAAAAAATTTAAAAACTGAAAGGATTTTTGGCTCATGAAGAATTTTAACAGCAAATTAGCCACACAAAGTATAGACGTTTTTAAAGTTATGGTTATGACAGAAAAGTTATCTCACAACAGGATGTCAAGACATAGAAAAATAATTTCTTAAAAAAAACAACAGAAAAATGAGTATTTTAAAAATGAAAAATACATATGTTTTAAAAAAGAATGAACTTCCGCCGGGCGCGGTGGCTCAAGCCTGTAATCCCAGCACTTTGGGAGGCCGAGGCGGGGATCACGAGGTCAAGAGATCGAGACCATCCTGGTCAACATGGTGAAACCCCGTCTCTACTAAAAATACAAAAAATTAGCTGGGCATGGTGGCACGTGCCTGTAATCCCAGCTACTCAGGAGGCTGAGGCAGGAGAATTGCCTGAACCCGGGAAGCGGAGGTTGC